GTTTCGGTATGGTTCGGTATGTGCTATGTTTAGGTAAAAACTATACTGTCAAATTAAAATAAAGAAAATAATAATAATCTATCTAACTACAAGCAACCGCACAAATAAATACAATAGAGTAAAGATACAAATAAAATAAACAGTGATTTTCAGTTTTTTTTAGGTAGGTCTAACATTAGTTTCAGGTACAGAAATTGAATAAAGTAATGAAATGTAAAACAACATTGCATATTTGACTGTATAAATTAAAGATTAATCTTTATTAAAGTTACAAAAGCTATTCAATCAAGAGCAGTGAGTGATTTCTTTGTTGCTGTTTGATTAATATTAAGAAAGTGCTGTCACTTTAAGAGAAAGCACTGATCCAGTGCACTGATACAGTACGTTCAGCCAGCTATGTCTGCTATAGGATACTTACCAAGACAGGTATTTTGACATAATTTTTGTGTGAATTTGTCCATTTAAACACCATACTTCAGAGAAAGCTTAATATTTGCGTGTGTTCTGAGGCACGGATTTGCAGGCTTCGGATGAGCGCACGCACAAATCTTCTCACTGCACGTGTGAGCTCGCGTCCTCTGGCTCTTAAATGTTTAAAGGCAGGGTAAGTGATTTCTGGTAGCCAATGTTGATATTTGAAATCGCCAAAACAAACACGCCCCTACCCCATAAGGGTCTTGCCCCTATTTTGACAGCTCCGCCCCACACATACGAACGCAACCCAGGCAACGATTAGTTCTGTGAAACAAAGCAAAACCAATGTTACACCGTGTCTACATTGGATGTGAACGGCACGGTGCAACAAATCCCCGACAGAAAACAAACTGCTGCCGGGTTCTATTTATGACGTGCTGACACAAATTTCAAATGGTTTTTAACGGTCGTTTGATCGAGTCCAGTGTAGGCAGACTTTAGCTGTTGTAGACACGGTGTTACTCACCTATTGAGAAGAAACAAAGCAACCTCGGCGTCCGATCGCAGGCCTCCGCTCCTTGAGTTTTCTCCAGCGCTGGAAAGCTGATCCGATATTTACACGGATCCTACTTCTTGCCTTATTGTTCCGCAGACGTTTTCCTCTTGTTTTTTTATCCACCATATCTATCTTTCTGTCGCTCGGCTCGGCTAATGTCCGTCCTGTGCACTGAAAGTTCTCTCCTCCACATCACGAGTAGACACGCCCCTTACTGCTGATTGGCTACAAGTTTGATTTGCTATTCGGCCCGAATCAGTTTTCTAAAGCGTTTTTGAAAAATTACATACCCTACCTTTAAACTGGCAAAGTTTAAACGAGTTTAGCTTAAACACGGATATCAACGTGTGCTGTTCAGGTCTCACCTGTGCACGCGCGCTATCAGCAACCGGGTGATGATGGAATAAATGCTCATATTCCAGCATACGGCATTCGCATTGAACAAGAGTGAATGGTTTGTCCACATTTGTTTTTTTCCATCGCTGTTGTTGATGTATTGGGAAGCCAGAATGCGCATCCATCAACAGAAACATGCATTAGCCGAACCCTGTTTGTCTTGCGTGTTATTTATAGCAAACCAATATTACAGATGCGTTGTCAGATTTAAGTTGAACTGCGGTCCTAGATTTAAGTTGAACCGCTGTCCTAGCACGTGGAGAACCGTACGGTTAGATTTTTTTCCTTGAACCGTTCCACCCCTATATGTACTGCAGATTATATATATTTAACAATGTAATAATATTTAGTATTTTCACATCTAGGTGGAAATTTTTTAAATTTGTACTACTGTCTGTTCAAAATAAATGAAAAAAATACAGAGCATAGTAGATTTTTTTTTTCTCCCTGTTGTACCGAAATCGTATCGAACCGTGACCCCCGAACCGAGGTTCGTACCGAACCATGACATCTGTGTACCGTTCCACCCCTACTAGCTTCCTATCTAATAGACTATCAAACTAGTTAACTGTCTAATGAAGTGTTTATTCATCTAGCTAGTTGGCCGTCTAATTACTAGCTAGCTTGTACGCAGCTAACAATTTTTGGTTCCCAGAACGTTTGTTTTTGGTTAACCAGGAAAGTTTTCTTAACGTTCCCAGAACGTTATTCTAACATTCCCATAATGTTATTCTAATGTTCCCCAAACGTTAGTTTTTGGTTCCCAGAACGTTATTCTAACGTTCCCCTAACCTCTTTACTCCGATATGATCAACCCGCTGTATGTCAATAATCATCCAGCACACTCTTATGTCTTGTAACACCATGTTTATTTTTCATGAGGTACCCTCAAAGGTGCACCTTTGTAACTTATCTACCCTTAAAGCATGCATACTTGTATGGTACTAATATGCTCACTTTTAGGGGTATAGTTGCACCTTTGAGGTTACTGCCCCATTAAAGGGCTAAAATATACAATTATAGTATATTTTATTTCTAAAAGTGTAAACAAAAAAGGCCTATGAAATGTTAAAAAAACATGGCTTTAAAATCTAATATTAAGTGAGTATAATTACTGATTATATATTCTTTTAATAATTTAAAAGATCAGTTTAGTTTAGAAGTATTGGTATCGGTATCGATATCAACGATACTGGGCTTAAAAATATCGGTATCGGATCGAAAATAAAATAAGAGGTATCGCCAATCGCTATGTGAAAGACAGGTGAAAGCGCATTTTAATAAATGCTGTATTAAACGAATTTCAGGGCTCTGTATAGGTCATTACACATTAACATCTGAGACGTTTTCATTGGAAAGATAGTTTTACAGGGTTATAAAAATAACCTGAGAATAACCATAAGGGAACATTCTGTATAAGTTATTTTTAAAAAACCACCCTGCAACGTTATGGGAACGTTATTTTATGGTTGCAAAAACATAACCTAAAAATAACCATTAGGGAACGTTCTCTAGAAGTTATTTTTAGGTTATTTAAAAGTAACCACCATGCAACGTTCTGGGAACGTTATTTTATGGTTACAAAAAATATAACCTAAAAAGAACGTTCCCATAACATTAGTATTTGGTTCCCAAAAAAGTAACCAAACGGGATCCAAAATTAGGGAAACGTTCTGTGTTTGCTGGGTATGCTATCTAATAACACATCTAGCTAACTAAAATCTTTGTCCCACTAGCTTTTTGCTGTCTTATAACCGATTTATTCATATAGCTAGTTAACTATCTAATGAAGTATTTTTACCTTTAGCTAGTTACTAGCGGTCTAAATGATCTAACTATTTAGCCATGTAACATCTAGCTCTCTAATAAAGTATATTTGTTTTTTTGGTAGCTTGCCATCTAATAAATTAGATTGTTAAAGATGTAGCTAGATTGATGGTTTTAATCCATTTAGTTAGCTAACTGTTCATTAAACCATTAACCCTTACAAAAAAGAACCATGGGTTTACTACAAATAAAACCAAAAAAACATGATTGCTATAGTTAAACGGTCAAGTTTTTCAGATTGATGGTAACCACATATTAACCATGGTTTTCATGCACTAACCATATTTTAACCATGCTATTTGTAGTAAAACTTTGGTTATACAAATGGTAATCAGTACGCCAAAAAAAAAAGGTTACTACACATTTACTACAATAAACCCATGGTTCATTTTCATCAGTAATGCATAAAGGTATCTAATTAATTATATTTTTGTCTTGCTAGCTAACCCTAGTCTAATAAAATATTGTCTAATAAACCTTTTACTGTCTTGCTAGTTAGCTATCTAATAAAGTATTTAATTAGGTAATTACATCCAGCATCTAATATAATTTTTGTGTGTCTGACTAGCTTTCTATCTAGTATGCAATTTATCTAGCTAGTTAGCTAGATAGTTAAATACTTCACTAGATAGCTATCTAAAAATGTATTTATCCACGGTATCTAATAAAGCATTTTTGTGTCTAGCTAGCTGTCTCCATCAGTTAGCGTCTAGCTAATGGTTATCCACTGTGGAAAGAAACCTACTAACGTTTTTCTTTTCTTTTTTCTTTTTTCCCTTAACTTCCCTCTCCTCCCCACCTGCCAGTCGGATCTGACCTTCGTGGGCTGCGTGGGCATGCTGGATCCTCCTCGTACGGAAGTAGCCGCTTCCATCAAGCTCTGCCGCCACGCCGGCATCCGGGTCATCATGATCACCGGCGACAACAAGGGCACGGCTGTGGCCATCTGCAGACGCATCGGCATCTTCTCAGAGGAAGATGATGTCAACCGCATGGCCTTCACCGGCCGTGAATTCGACGACCTTTCACCTCACGCCCAGCGTGAAGCCGTCATGACTGCCCGCTGCTTTGCACGTGTCGAGCCTTCACACAAGTCCAAGATTGTGGAGTTCCTGCAGGGCTTTGACGAGATCACTGCCATGGTAGGCAGCCATATGGTGTTAAAGGGATAGTTGCCCCAAAAATAAAAAGTCAATAAAGTCACCCTCATGTCTTTCCAAACCCGTAAGAACTTCGTTCATCTTCGGAAGATAAATTAAGATATTTCTGATGAAATCCAAGAGTTTTCTGACCCTGCATAGACCGCAACAAAACTACCACGTTCAAGGCCCAGAAAGGTAGTAAGGACATCATTAAAATAGTCCATGTGACATCAGTGGTTCAACCGTAATTTTTATGAAGCTTTGAGGAAGAAATCAAAAATAATGACTTTATTCAACAATATGTGTCGAAGACTGACATGGAAGAGAAGAAATTGTTGAATAAAGTCATTATTTTTGTTTTCTTTGCCCACAAAAATTCTTGTAGCTTCATTAAATTACGGTTGAACCACTGATGTTACATGTTACCGATGTCCTTACTACCTTTCTGGGCCTGGAACGTGGCAGTACTGTTGCTGTCTATGCAGGGTCAGAAAGCTCTTGGATTTTATCAAAAATACCTTAATTGTGTTCTGAAGATGAACCAAGGTCTTGCGGGTTTGGAACTATATGAGGGTGAGTAATTAATGACAGAATTTTTGGACAAACTATCCCTTTAATGGATGCAACACAACTGCGTTTGATTGTCCTGTTTGGCTGAGCGGTTGTGTCTCTGCAGACAGGAGATGGCGTGAACGATGCCCCTGCCCTGAAGAAGGCAGAGATTGGCATCGCCATGGGCTCTGGCACTGCCGTGGCCAAGACAGCCTCGGAGATGGTTCTCGCTGATGACAACTTTTCCACCATTGTGGCCGCCGTTGAGGAAGGCAGAGCTATCTACAACAACATGAAGCAGTTCATCCGCTACCTCATCTCCTCCAACGTGGGCGAGGTCGTCTGGTCAGTCCGGTTGTGGTTTTCAGTTCGGTTTCATTTGGTTTTGTCTGTTACTGATATACTGGACTCCTCTGCAGTATCTTCCTCACTGCTGCGTTGGGTTTCCCTGAGGCCCTAATTCCCGTCCAGCTGCTGTGGGTGAACCTGGTGACTGATGGTCTTCCCGCCACCGCTCTGGGCTTCAACCCTCCTGACCTGGACATCATGAACAAGCCCCCCCGCAACGCCAAGGAGCCGCTCATCTCTGGATGGCTCTTTTTCAGATACTTGGCCATCGGCTGTGAGTCACAAACATGATTAGTGTAGCCTAGTGGCTGTGATTTAATTTTTTTTTTTTTTTATTATTTGCTTATGTACATTTTTCTAGCTTGTCCCCTAATAATGTATCCAGTCTTGCTGGTCTGTTAAGTGTTGTGTTATCTCATGTGTGTTGTGTTTCTCAGGTTATGTGGGTGCTGCGACTGTAGGAGCTGCAGCCTGGTGGTTCATTTCTGCTGATGATGGTCCAATGATCACATTTTACCAGCTGGTATAGATCTCGGTTTTTAAATAAATGTAATTTGTGTGACTAAATCTATAGCCCTAAGTCTGATACAATAGCATATACTGTAAATGCTCAGTTTTTCCACATCAAAACTAGACTTGCATTACATTTTTGTCATTATTCAAAAAAAAAAAATGGTTTGATATTTAAATAAATTGTTTGACAATTAAACAACTGACCTATCTTTGACAGATTGCAGCTTCTGCTTTTCTGGAATAGAAAAAAAAAAGTTATAAAAGAACAATTTATATGAAATATATTTTTTCTTTTATTGTAACAATGTAAAAGTCTTAAATGTCTCTTGGGATATATAAATATCCCAAGAGACAGTTAAGACTTTTACGTGTGTGCATATTTATTTATTTTATTTATTTTTAGATCATTTTGTTTTTTTTGAGATTTGTAATTTTGTAGGTATGTCAAATTTTTAGTGCTGTCAAAATTAGCACGTTAACGCAGGCGATTAATTTTTTCAGTTTAATAAATAGATCATAAATAATAGACAATAAATAGACTAGACTAAAAAATGTTTATGCAATTAACGCAGGGGCGGAGCTAGGGTTTGCCAACCCACTCACAACTGCTGCATTTGTTTTTTTTTTTTTTTTTTTGTCAAGAAGTGCATTTATTCAGTCGCAGAACGTCAAAAGAGGTGCGAGTCAAACGAGTGCGGAAATGGTACTGTTCTCGCAGCACGTTCTCTTCAATTGCACGCACAAAGGCGCTGGTGCGCGCTATACCCTGTATCTTTTCATATCAAAGCGTGAATGAAACTACGTGCATGCAGTGTCATGGTCAGTTAGGGCATGAAGTTACCAAAAAGCCCATTAAAGCTGCCTTAAAACAGTGCATGCATTTAATATATTATATATGAGTTACATTAAGAACATGTCTCTGAAATGGTTTTCAAAATTGTCCTGGAGCAGCCCAGCACTGTCTCCCTCATCTAACACACCCGATTCAACTCATCAGCTCATTAGTAGAGACATTAAGACCTGAAGTGGGTCAGAAAAGGTAAAGAGAGTTGAGAGAAAATACAATGCGTGCAGGTCCACGTCACATTCAGCAGCGGCAGCTCTTAAAGAAACAGCACCCAAAACAACCTAATAACTAGCTGCCGTGATGTCTGTTGTTAATCAAAGAAAAAAGAGAGAATCAATAACTTTTATAGCTTTAAAGGTATACTCCACCCCAAAATGAAAATGTTGTCAATCACTTACCCCCATGTCGTTCCAAACCCGTAAAAGCTTCAGTCGTCTTCGGAACACAATTTAAGATATTTTGGATGAAAACCGGGAGGCTTGTGACTGTCCCATTGACTGCCAAGTAAATTATACTGTCAAGGTCCAGAAAAGTATAAAAGACATCGTCAGAATAGTCCATCTGCCACCACCTTTCATCCAAAATATCTTAAATTGTGTTCCAAAGACAAATTAAGCTTTTACGGGTTTGGAACGACATGGGGGTAAGTGATTAATTACAACATTTTCATTTTGGGGTGGAGTATCCCTTTACGGATTCATCTATATTTTAATTTAGAATTTATTAGTTTGATAACTTAAATTTCAATTTCTATATATTTCTGATGAAGGGCACAGGTAAATATGGCATGTATTATAATGGGTTTATGTGAAGATTGTTTTAAGTTCACTTAAATTAGAAGTAATTTTTTAAAGTCTAATAATTGTTAAAATCGATAGCTCTCAATTATACTGTAATGTTGAATGGCTATAGTCGATGGTTAAATATTAGGGTGAGTATTATCAGTGATACTGGCCTTCAGTCACAAAAAAGATGCCATTAAACAAATATTAAAAATACTGTCTATGTTGTTTCTACATTAATTTGAAGATTGAATGTAAAATTATTGCAATATAGAAGTATATTTAAAAACTTTAATGTTAGGTGGGATTAATCACGATTAATTTCAGAAAATGTGCGATTTAATTAGTAAAAAAGATTTATCGATTGCCAACAACACTAATAATTTTATGTATTTAATAATAATAATATGAATTTATTTATTAGCTTAGGGCATTTACTAATACTATCTATCTATCTATCTATATATATATATGATTTATTATAATATCATAGTTTTATTATCATAGAAAAATATTTTTAAAAATAATTTTCTAATAAGTAGTAGTAGTTGTATCATAGAAATCAAAGTTATTTTAAAATTTGTTTAAAATGAGTCATTTATCATGTCTGTGATGCATTTAATATTTATTTTTATATTTTTCATAATGCTTAATTCATTTCAGTTATATTTTTTAAATATAAATGAATAAAAATAGAGATTTATTTTATATATATATATATGTATGTATGTGTATGATTTTCTAAAAATCTATATAAAATATAATAATAATAGCTATTATTATTGTTGTTTTTATATATAAATGAATAATAAATATAGATTTCTATATATATATATATATATATATATATATATATATATATATATATATATATATATATATATATATACATATATATACAGTTCTCTTCAATTGCACGCACAAAGGCGCTGGTGCGCGCTATACCCTGTATCTTTTCATATCAAAGCGTGAATGAAACTACGTGCATGCAGTGTCATGGTCAGTTAGGGCATGAAGTTACCAAAAAGCCCATTAAAGCTGCCTTAAAACAGTGCATGCATTTAATATATTATATATGAGTTACATTAAGAACATGTCTCTGAAATGGTTTTCAAAATTGTCCTGGAGCAGCCCAGCACTGTCTCCCTCATCTAACACACCCGATTCAACTCATCAGCTCATTAGTAGAGACATTAAGACCTGAAGTGGGTCAGAAAAGGTAAAGAGAGTTGAGAGAAAATACAATGCGTGCAGGTCCACGTCACATTCAGCAGCGGCAGCTCTTAAAGAAACAGCACCCAAAACAACCTAATAACTAGCTGCCGTGATGTCTGTTGTTAATCAAAGAAAAAAGAGAGAATCAATAACTTTTATAGCTTTAAAGGTATACTCCACCCCAAAATGAAAATGTTGTCAATCACTTACCCCCATGTCGTTCCAAACCCGTAAAAGCTTCAGTCGTCTTCGGAACACAATTTAAGATATTTTGGATGAAAACCGGGAGGCTATTCAGCAGCGGCAGCTCTTAAAGAAACAGCACCCAAAACAACCTAATAACTAGCTGCCGTGATGTCTGTTGTTAATCAAAGAAAAAAGAGAGAATCAATAACTTTTATAGCTTTAAAGGTATACTCCACCCCAAAATGAAAATGTTGTCAATCACTTACCCCCATGTCGTTCCAAACCCGTAAAAGCTTCAGTCGTCTTCGGAACACAATTTAAGATATTTTGGATGAAAACCGGGAGGCTTGTGACTGTCCCATTGACTGCCAAGTAAATTATACTGTCAAGGTCCAGAAAAGTATAAAAGACATCGTCAGAATAGTCCATCTGCCACCACCTTTCATCCAAAATATCTTAAATTGTGTTCCAAAGACAAATTAAGCTTTTACGGGTTTGGAACGACATGGGGGTAAGTGATTAATTACAACATTTTCATTTTGGGGTGGAGTATCCCTTTACGGATTCATCTATATTTTAATTTAGAATTTATTAGTTTGATAACTTAAATTTCAATTTCTATATATTTCTGATGAAGGGCACAGGTAAATATGGCATGTATTATAATGGGTTTATGTGAAGATTGTTTTAAGTTCACTTAAATTAGAAGTAATTTTTTAAAGTCTAATAATTGTTAAAATCGATAGCTCTCAATTATACTGTAATGTTGAATGGCTATAGTCGATGGTTAAATATTAGGGTGAGTATTATCAGTGATACTGGCCTTCAGTCACAAAAAAGATGCCATTAAACAAATATTAAAAATACTGTCTATGTTGTTTCTACATTAATTTGAAGATTGAATGTAAAATTATTGCAATATAGAAGTATATTTAAAAACTTTAATGTTAGGTGGGATTAATCACGATTAATTTCAGAAAATGTGCGATTTAATTAGTAAAAAAGATTTATCGATTGCCAACAACACTAATAATTTTATGTATTTAATAATAATAATATGAATTTATTTATTAGCTTAGGGCATTTACTAATACTATCTATCTATCTATCTATATATATATATGATTTATTATAATATCATAGTTTTATTATCATAGAAAAATATTTTTAAAAATAATTTTCTAATAAGTAGTAGTAGTTGTATCATAGAAATCAAAGTTATTTTAAAATTTGTTTAAAATGAGTCATTTATCATGTCTGTGATGCATTTAATATTTATTTTTATATTTTTCATAATGCTTAATTCATTTCAGTTATATTTTTTAAATATAAATGAATAAAAATAGAGATTTATTTTATATATATATATATGTATGTATGTGTATGATTTTCTAAAAATCTATATAAAATATAATAATAATAGCTATTATTATTGTTGTTTTTATATATAAATGAATAATAAATATAGATTTCTATATATATATATATATATATATATATATATATTTGAATTTCACTTAGAATCTATACAAATAGAATATAATAATTAGCTATTATATTTTTTGTAAATATTTTTAATAAAGAAATTTAAATGTAAATATTTAATAGTTTTGTTATACAAAGAGAATTGTTGTTGTTAAGTGTAATTTATTCACATAATTATGTAAGTCATATTTATTTTGAATTTGATTATGTTGTTGTTGTTGTTGTTGTAGTAGTAGTAACTAAGCATGTATTGTCTCTTGTCCTCTCAGAATCATTTCCTGCAGTGTTCTCCTGATAATCCTGACTTCCAGGATCTGGATTGCCACGTGTTCGAGTCTCCCTACCCCATGACCATGGCCCTGTCTGTGCTGGTCACCATCGAGATGTGTAACGCCCTCAACAGGTCAGCCAGCATCCACCTCACATCCAGACTCACGCATGGCAGTGATTAAAAACAAGCGTTGTGTTGGTGTTGAACCAATGTAAACATGTTTATTTTTGTCCTGCAGTCTGTCAGAGAATCAGTCTCTGCTGCGCATGCCTCCCTGGGAGAACATCTGGCTGCTGGGAGCCATCTGCCTCTCCATGTCTCTGCATTTCCTCATCCTCTACGTAGACCCGCTGCCGGTACGGCACCCTTAACACTACAGATCATTAAGTGCTCTATGAAGATGAGGATGTCAAAAATAATCTTGGGGCCCAGAAAACAAATATATCTGTAATGGAACGTTTATTTCTCTACTACTGCTCCACACAAACTCTGAATGTAGACCCAGTCTGTACTCCAGGTTCACTTTCACATGAATCCAAACATATTATACTACAATTCTAAATGGTTCAATTAACAGTTTTGTGGACTATTGACAAACTTTCTATTGATTTGAAAACTATTGTCAACTACACGTTACTTATTTTATGTGTGTGTGTGTGTGTGTGTGTGTGCATACTGCATAAAATGATAAAATTATAAAAATAAATATTAAATAAGTGACAGACGTAAGTGTTATTTAAAAATAACATTAATTTCTGATACTGATATATATATTATATATATATATATATATACAATATATATTATATATATATATATATATATATATATAAATACCTAAAATACTTTTTAACTTTGAGAATTATTAAAAAAAAATTATAGTTCAAATCAAATTATTTAGAATCATTCTATATTATAGAATGTTCTTTTTTCAAATTCACGCACGAATTGCATGTATTCTGACAGCGCTGCATCAGGGCGCGAGGAAAATCTGCACTGAAACCGTGTTACATGCAACAAACATCTTCCCAAATACGTAATCATTTATAAATCTGTTTAAAAAAAAGAATCATAACATAAAAGAATCATCATTTATAAATCAACAAAAAGAAGCACCGAGATCTTCGTGCGGGTTTCCGCCAAAATAAAAGCAGAGAAAAAGCAACTCCATCAACATTCATAATTGTTAGTATTGTAATTTTACTGTTGTTCTGTAAAATAAAATAAAAAACTTAAGACAATAATAATAACACAAATACTGTATTTGGCCCTCGGCCCACTGTTTCATTTTGTTCGGCTTCGGCCAAGAATTTTCATTTTGGTTCATCCCTAGTGTGGACATGTTATTGCTTTACTTGTATGCTTATTTATATTATATCAATAATAGATATCATATTTAATAAATAGTTTATTCAATAAAATAGTTATTGTTTATTAAATATTTAATTGAAGGCCATAGGCTGTTTGTGCACTGGTGTGTGTGTGTGTGTGTGAAAGCCTTGGTGTCACTCCTCGTTTCATTCCATATTTTCTTTGCTTCACCCTCTGCTGTTCCTCAGGTCATCTTCCAGATCACCGCTCTGAACGTGACCCAGTGGCTGATAGTGCTGAAGATCTCGTTGCCTGTCATCCTCCTGGACGAGCTGCTCAAATTCATCGCAAGGAACTACCTGGATCCCGGTAAAGACCTGGACCAGGAGCCCGACAAGAGAGGCTGGTCCCTCTCTGCATGCACTGAGGGCATCTCCTGGCCCTTCGTAGCTCTGACACTCCCTCTAGTGGTGTGGCTGTATGGCACAGACACTAACATAACCCAGCAGCTCTGGTCCTCCTGACTGATCCCAGAGCTGCCGTCAAGCTAACACATGACTCCAAATAACCAGAGAAGAAACATTAACAAGGAACAACAGTCACCCGTTCACATTTGCACATGCATTTAAGCCTTGTTTAAATTTTAAATTTAATGTGTGTATATATAATGTTAATCTTCATATTGTTGTCAGAAAATAGTATGTTCCTTTTTTTATCATTCCATTTTAAAGGGGTCATCGGATGCAAAATTCACTTTTCAAGTTGTTTGAACATAAATGTATGTTGGAAGTGTGTGTACCTATTTTAAAATCCCCTTTCTCAAACCAGGCTGTTCTGAGATTCCTGTCAGAATGACGTAGTTCTGTACAGGCCCCGCCCACGATAGTTTGATTGACAGTAGCGTTTCAGCACAGACTGGACTGGTGTCTTACCTTAGCTCCGCCCTGAGTGACTGTCATCAGTCCGCCATTGTGTTGACTCTGGTGCAGGGGAAGACAAGATGTCTCCGATTAAGCGATTGAGGTGCTTTATTGTTGGATGTAATAATGAATATAGCAATCATCATTTACTCCCGACATCTGAGCTGCTGAAGACGCCGAGGATTAACCTTACTTTCGCTTTGAAGTGAATGCGCCACTCCCGATCAACGTAAATGCTTCTATGTTCGCGCGAATCATTCGTGATCCAGCCTCATCTACAGAAGAAGCAAGTATAAGGGTTTTTTATGAATCTTTGCAAATCACCTTTCCTAATAATGCGCTAATTGGCAAGTTTCACAATGAATGCGGCTAAAATAAACCGTTTCTCTGAGAGCAGCTAGGAAGAGAGGGGCGGGGCCAGCAGAGCTCATTAACATTTAAAGCAACATGGACTATAATGGCTTGTTAAAAACAACTGATTTTGACTGGTTAAAATTTCTCAATGTTGGTGTAAAAAACACCTTTTTAAACCTAAGTATGTTATAGACTTTTAATTAAGACCCTAAAGAATCATATCAACTTGTGCAAAATGAGCATCCGATGATCCCTTTAAGTACTTCTTTTTTTTTCTTATTAAAGTTGTATATTTTCTCAGGTCCCCTTATAGCCTTTTTTGGAAGCTTAAAGTGAGGAGATGCAATATTTATCAGATTGCTTTGGATATTTTTGGCTCGAAGCTCTGAGATGTCTTTAGCATTTTGAATCCGCTGGGCCGTAAAGAGCGAATGCGCGTTTGGGTAATATTTAAATGTTTTCCACTGTAACGTCAGCCGTGTCGTTTATGTTTGCTTTCCTCGCTTGAAGCAAAATGATTTCCTCTCTGTGTTAAGTAGATTGCAGCTACCTCAGTTCCGTCGGTTGCTTTCTTAGTACCCGTTTACTGACTTAATTTTTAATTTTTTTATTTTGCTCCATAGAGGACTAGCCAAATGCACTAGTTCCCTCGTACAAAAACTTTAGCTGTTCACAGCTTTATTTTATTAATGCTTAAGTAAAAAAAAATGAAACTTGCTTTGTGCAAATCCTATGAAGATGTTTACTTTTTCATGTCCTGGATGTATTTATAGGGACAGCGTAGTGATATAATATAGATGAATTATTTTTACTGTAATGTGTATATGTACTGTATATACTAGGTTCTGAGTAAATGAACGGAGCACAATTGATCCCTTTTTTGTATTATAATATCTAGGTTGAATAGTGGGATTAAAACTCTGACATTAATACACATGACCTCTTTGAATCTATAAATGGCACAATTTATTCTCTTGGAGGTCATATTTTTTTTTCTTCCTTTTTAGTGTCTTATTTCAGGTGGCCAACAGACATGCATGACTAAATTTGCTGTATTGAAACTAATTTTGTCCTGTGTGTATCAGCGAGTGCGTACTGCTCACATAATACACCATCACAACCTTGTGTTTGTTTGACTGATGTAATACATTACACACAGTTATGTGCATTTGCTTCTACAGGAACTACATGTAACTCGTTAAAGACGCTTTTAATCATGTCTAACTATGGTGGCATGGCATCACATTTACAGTATCTGTCTGTTTTCTTTATTTGTTTGCTCAAACGTGTCTTTATTTTTCCATCTCTCTCTCTCTCTCTCTAGCTCGGGATGATTAAGCCGATCCGCTCTCTGTATTCCTTGCAGAAGCTGTGAGGTTTTTGTGACTTTAGTGCATGTTGTTTTCAGCAGCTCCACACATCTTTCTAGGCCTGCATGTCAACTGTGCTAAAAAACCCAAGCATTTGCGTCATTAGTTTAGAAGCTCAAGCATTAGGAGTGGAAAAAAATGATTTGAGACCCAGTGAAATTTGAAAATACTCTTAAAATGTAACATTACAGCAGTTTTCATGGTGCATGTCCCCTTATGTTAGAAACTTTTGTATAGCACTGCAATATTTGAAAAGAAAAGTAATTAGTGAAAAAACTGATTGTTATTGTTGCTTTGCACAGGGATGTGCAATATGTTTTAAAGCAGGTGTTAGGTATGTGTGTGTGTGACATTGAGAGACAGGCGGTCTTTTCCAGCAGTTGCCATGGAAATGGAGGGCGGGTGCTGCCGAATCAGTGTTGTAATTATCACAATGACTTGTGGTTAATAAAATGATGTTACATGGTTGCGCTGCTCTTTCTTTACCCTGTGACAACGCTTGATTTATTTTGTATTAGGAAAGGAAAAGTGATCTTTTGTTTAGTGAATACATCAAGATTTTTCATGCCATGATTTTAATTCCAAAACATTTAAAAATAGTCTTATTTACAACAATATAGAAACATTAATAGAAGACAAACACTGAAAAAAAATGCACTTAGGGCTACAGAAATTAATGACGGCATCGCTTACATGCTCCGTTAAATGTCACAAAACTTAGTCAAGAACATGTCTGGGTTATATTCAGACCAAAATAAAAATTAAAAAGTAAATAAAAAAACACTTTTGCATAATACAAAAATTAAAGCAAAAAAAAAAAACCCGCACTGCATTATCTTAATGGAAACCACCACTTTGAATAAATGTAAAATAACATTGCAGTAAAGAAAATGGCTGAAATGTGCTAATGTGAAAAATTCCTAACAGGAACACAAAGCATTTTCTTTTTGATTTTGGTGTGCAATATGACTTTGACATGTTTATTACACACAAGATCAGAGAGAGAGAGAGAAAAAAGATTTTGTGGGATCGTGGTTCATTAAAAGATGCGTCTTTAACAATCATCACTTTTACTGGGGGGAAAAAAGCTCAGAGCATGCCAAATAAACTACAGGTTTGACACCTTAATGAAAAAAAAAAAATAAGCAGAGTTGCCTAGTCCTGTACTTGGCCCAAAACAGCAAACTTGAAACCCACGATGTTTAACTACTGTTAGAAAATACATTAAGAGTGCATCATTTGTGTAATTAGTGCTGAAGCTCAAGAGTCTGTTAGCGAGTGCTGAGGGTCACTGCATGCCGAACCACTGCTCCTGATCGGCCCACTGCGCCGCCTCGCTGTCACTGCCCTCCAGATCTCCCTCCTCCCCGCTGCCCTCCATATCGTCCCCGTCCAGCTCCACCGTGGCGTCTGTGGGACTCTCCTCCTTCTCCATCTTCTGCATACCCTCCAGAGACTTCTGGTCATTCGGATCGAGGCTACAGAAGAGGAATAGAACAGTCAGTTCTGCTCAACTCTAATGTTTAAGACTGTACCGTACAGCAGTGGCGTAGCCATCATTTCAGAAGTGAGGGGGACAGAAATGTTATATATACAGTGGGTACGGAAAGTATTCAGAACTGAGCTATTGGGGGAGAAGAGCCTTGGTGAGAGAGGTAAAGAAGAACCCAAAGATTACTGTGGCTGAGCTCCAGAGATGCAGTCGGGAGATGGAAGAAAGTTGTAGAAAGTCAACCATCACTGCAGCCCTCCACCAGTCGGGGGTTTATGGCAGAGTGGCCCGACGGAAGCCTCTCCTCAGTGCAAGACACATGAAAGCCCGCATGGAGTTTGCTAAAAAACACCTGAAGGACTCCAAGATGGTGAGAAATAAGATTCTCTGGTCTGATGAGACCAAGATAGAACTTTTTGGCCTTAATTCTAAGCGGTCAGAATGATTTCTGAAGGATAGTGTGACTGGAGTAATGATGCAAAAAATTTACCTTTGAAATTACTATAAATTACATTTTTAAATATATTAAAATAGAAAACAGTTATTTGAAATAGCTTAGTAAAAATATTTCAAAATTGTACTGTTTTGCTTTACTTTGGATTTGACTGGTAGTGTATAGTCAACTTTAATTTTTCTTTCATTTCTAGTTTTTAATTGGCTTAGAAATCAGATGACTGCTGGACAATAACCAATAATAATGATTTGTTTATATACTACAAACACTTTTTTATTACATAATAAGGTAGAATAGTTTCAATACTGTAATAAATGCTATGTCAGTTAGCACTGCATTGTTCATATACTTTATTTATTAGCTGGAGATGACTTGACAAACACAAATAAAGCATATATTGTCGCAATCGTATGTTTAATGTCTTCATGTTTCCAAACGTTTCTGTTTTTCTGAAAACAACTGTTTTCATACAGCCATAGCTGGACGCTTTTGTCCATATTAGGAATTTCCTCATACAACTTTCTGCGCGAGAGCACCCTCCGGCTTCAAGTATGAATGAAACATACACTGCACGAGTTTGTTTAGCGCTCCGTGATGTTCATCTCACCTTATTCTTATGTCTCTTTGAATTAAATCTATATTTAGTCACACCGGCTCTTGAAAACCTCTATGCGAACACACTTGGCCGAAAAAGTGCGGGTGACGAATTTACGTGATATTAAAAGTGGGGGGTAACTTTTCGTAATCTACGCCCCTGCCGTACAGTGTAGATGACGTTACCTTAGCGCTATACTGTACTGGTCCATGGCCTCCTGATAGTCATTAACAGCTACAAGAAAATCCCCCAGCATCCTGTGCAGCACGCAGTCGCTCTGATTGGCTAATGTGTTCCGTAGAAGTGCTATTCCTTCCTCATACTTCTGTTCTCGACCTGTAATGAAAATGATTTAGGCATTACATAGCATTACACCAAAATATATGCTTTTGAAGCTTAAGTCAAGAGAATAACAACAATTTGTTTTATTTCATAACTACCTTTCATAACAGTTAATGAACAACAACAAAAATAATAAACGATATAATGAAAATAGAAAAACAAATACATAAAAATAAATTACTACTTCTACTACTAAATAAATAAAATGTATAATAATTATATTATTTAAAAAATAAAACAATTTATAATAATAATGATTAATGGAAAAACAAATAAAAAATTGCTACTACTACTACTACTACTACTACTAGTAATAAAATAACAACAAATCATTATTTATTACACATTTAAAAAAATAATAAATAGAAGAATAAATAAGTAATAATAACTAGAAAAGTATAAAATAATAATATAATTAATAATTAGGAAATAATATAAATACAAAAGAAATAATTTAATTACTAAATAAAAAGAAATAAGTAATAATAACATGAAATAGAAAAATAAATAACAATAATTTAATAATAATAAATTATAATTAATTAAAATAATAAAATAAAAATTTTATAAAAGTAAAAATATGAAATAATGTAATTAATATGATAACTAGTGAAGAAAATATAATACTAATTTAATAAAAACAATAATGACAACAATGATAATTTTATAATAATAATAATAAATACAATAAATTATAATTATTAATTACTATTATTATTTATAATACATTAATTATAATAAATTATTAAATCATAATACATTAACAACAACAACAATAATAATAATAATAATATAGAAAAATCGAATAAAATAAATCATAATAAAATAATATATTATGAGCACAGTTTACGATTAACATAGAAAGGCGTGTGAATTTTTGACATACTGAGGAGCTCTGCTTTCTTCACGACAGCTTTGATATAGTCGGGCCTCTGAGCGAGGGCTTTGTCCAGCAGAGTCTTGGCCTTCTCCTGGGTCATGGGATCTTCCAGACACACTGTGGCCAGGATGGTGAGGGTTTGGGCGTTCGCTCCCAGGGTCTTGTAAATATTGTTGGCCATTCCCATAGCCTCCCGGATACCATTAGAGGCAAGATAGCAGTCAATCAGACCTGAAAACAAAGGACGTATCACTCTGAGACAACAGAAAATGATTATGGGCTTTGTCTAACCTTCATAAAACAGGACAGACTGAATACAAGAACACAATAGAGTAACTAGCAGCTATTCAGCAACTAAATAGGCTAAAATCTTTTATTGCACAAAAATATCACGACCTTCCTAAAAACCTACAAAATACGCATAATAGCTGGAAATGATTATTTCTATTATCATGAAAGTCTTTCTTACCTTCATAGCAGTCCAGACGACAGGGCGCCAGTCTCATGGCTTCTCTGAAGTGTATGATGGCTTCCTGCACTCGGCCCATGTTCCTCAGCGCCACCCCCTTCAGGAGCAGCGCCTGCACACTGTTGCTGTTCAGCTGGATGGCTTTAGCTCCCAGATACAGTGCGCGAGAGTACCGCTTACTGTAGAAACTGTGACATCTGTGGAAAACATAAGAGCTTTCAGTAGCTTTTGATTCTGAAAACGTTTCAGACGCATTAGGAGAAGGTCAAACTCACCCAGATATGACCCAGGGCTCAGCATGCTGGTCGGATATGTTGAACAGCCGTCCTCCGAGAACCTCCACATCTTCCAGATGACCCTCCCTGGCCATCAGATAGCCGTATACATCCATACCTGCAAAACAGCATGATAATTTCATTCAAACCAACAAGAATCATAAAGCAGTGTATCTAGATTGCTGAAGGATTGGTTAATGCCATGCACCTTTGATCAGGTAGGGGTCAAGCATCTGTGCTTGCTCAAACTTCAAGATGGAGTTCTTGGTGTCTCCAGCCCTGAAGTACACATCCGCCAGAGTGACTAAAAGATCAACATTATCCCTCAAGAGTGACTTCTTCTCCAAAGAGCTGAGGAGAGATAAACAAGGACTATAGACATGAATGAGTCCTCACACTGTGCAGAGGTGGGCAACTATTTTTTGTTGCTATTTTTGTATAAAAAAAAGAAAAAAGTAATAGTTAATGGAAATAAAGCTGACATAAAAATAAAATAATATATAAGATTAAAATTTAAACTTTAAAAAAAAAACTAAAATGAAAATGAAATGTTGCCTTGGCAAGTAACTGAAATATAATAAGTTTAAGTTGGAGTACTAAAATGACTGAAAACTGAAATTAAAAAGAAATTGAAAATTTTAAAAATAAAAATGACAAATGTATAAAATTACTATAACTTAATATTTCAAAGAAAACCAAAAAAATCTAAAAATAAAAGCCAATTCAAAATATTATTAAATATTATCATAGCATTCAAATAATACAACAACACTGAATCTAATTTATTCTAATTAATCTAAATTTCTAATCATTGGTACTATTAAATAAATCTATTAAAAATTGGAAATTGAAATAAAGCTGATATAAAATCAAATATATATATTAGATGAAAACTGAAAATACATTTAGTATTGAAATGAGTGAAAATGAAATAAAAAAGCGAGACAGAGAAATAAATAGA